AGTCACTGCGATTACAGGTGTGTGCTACTACATTCGGCTCCCTAGAAATTCAATTCTTAATTCTTGGAGAAAAAACTCATCAAAAGTTGTGGACTGAGGCTGGGGATGTAGCTCAGTGGCATAGCACCTGGCTGGCAAGCTCGAGGTCCTGAGTTTGATTCCCAGTATGGGCCGGGGGTGGGGTGGGGTGGGGTGGAGTTGCGGACTGCCATCCAAACCTACACTCAAAAGAAAATTTTAAAAAACAATGCTTTTAGTATTATGTAAGAACAAACAAGCCAAGCATGGTGGCACATGCCTGTAATTCCAGCACTTTGGGAGGCTGAGGCAGGAGGATCACTGCTTGTTCCAGCCTAGGCTACATAGTGAGTTTAAGGCCAGTCTGAACTACATAGTGAGACCCTGTCTCAAAAACTCCAAACAAACAGACAAAATAAAATAAGCATTCTAATAAACAACAAAGGCAAGAGGAATGAATTAACAGCTAAGAGCTGATCTTTGAAATAACCAATAAAACAGAAAAACAGCTGACAGGATTAATGGAGGGAAGACAAATTTAAAACTGAAGAATTCTACGATGTTAATATTAAAACAAATAATACAGAGTGATCCTCCTACGACACAATTATATTCCAACACAGAGCAAAATTCTAAAATCAGCAGGGAACACTGCCAAGTAATCTGTGAGAAAATACTACTTTTAAAAATTTACATCCTGAGTTCAATCCCCGGTAACAGAAAAAAAAAAAATTTACAAAGAAATGCTATTAAGGGCAATCAAAAAATTTCTGGGGTATATTAGTGATTAACATGAGCATTATTTGTTCTGCTGGATACCAGTACAAAGAAAACCAGCCTTTCCAACCCTTCATTTCTAAACACTAGTGGCTCCCGGTGCTGACTACATATAAGTTTTCATTGGTCCAAAGTAAAGCAAAGTACAGTAAAACAAAATAAGAACGTAGTGAAATACTAATGAAACCACATAATTCTTTTCTTCTAAAATTATTTGTACTATGAACTATTTAACTTACAAAATAATTTTACTTGAAAACTAATTAGCAACCCTAAATTGGAGTTAAATTTATCTTTAAAATTTAGTCATCTCAATATTTAATGTCTAGATTAAGTCACAACCATCTATCTCATTGAAGCAGCAGGCCAGGAGATAACATTATACCATGTATTTCAACATTTTTCCACGTGAGGTTCTTCGCTGACTTAATTACTACATCTATCATTCCAGACCCCTTAAGTGATGAAATGCACAATAAACAGCAATATAAGCAATTTGTAATCTTATTACAATAAAACTGTGCTACAGGAAAGTATCCTATATCCCATTCTCCATGGGCTTTACCCACTTAGAAGATAGTATCATTTTCCCATTCTCAATATTCCCTGCCCTCCCAACTCTGATATATTCATTTACCACACCCTAGTGAGCTACCTTTAAAATCTATTCCATCTCCAGGGTTTTACCGCAGCACTGTAAACTAGTACTTCTTTCAGGATTATTACTGTTAGTTAACTTTCTTTGCTATCAGTTTATTCTGTGCCAATCTATCCCCAACGTATCTTCCAAAAATTAGCTTACGACACTTCCCTGCAAAAGCTTAAAACTTAGGGGAATTCACAACAATATTTATGGCATTCAACATCTTGTATTTTTTTCATCATTAAGTTTCATTTCCATATATCTCCAATAAGTTGATCTTATTGAATCTTTTGTTCTAACATTGATTTTAAGATCTACCAAAGATATAAAAACAGCCTTTCAGGGCAAAAAGAAATGTGCTACATTAAATCCGCATCTCAAATGTAAGACAGATACATTCCAGCTGTGATTCAGGTAAGCTTACATAAAGAGTCCCTTAAAAACACAGTAGCTGAGTTACTTAAATTGAGTTTTACAGTAATTGGTTCTAGAATACAGTACAGATAATTTTAAATGTAGGTGAAGCAAAATACTGACATTTAGCATATTTTAAAAATATCCTGCATGCTGGTAAATATATTAGCACTGAACTTGGGGTGGGGGGCAAAAGTAACTTAATTAATCCAGAAATACATAATTCTAAAAGAATCTCTTGGGCTGGGGATTTAGCTCAATGGTGCCGCCACCTGCCTTGCAAGCACAAGGCCCTGAGTTTGATCCCCGGTACCAAAAACAAAACAAACAAAAAAACCCCAAAAACTAATAAAAGAATCTCTTATTCAGAAACTAGAAGGCAAATCTTACATCAAATTAATTCATTGCCACTGAGGAATATCAGAAAATATCTGTTAAATTTTTTGTTATCTACCTGTGCCACAGGAGTAAGCCCCATAAAAGGAAGGGCTTGGTTTTGCTCACCAGTAGAACTGGCTGCCCCCAAAAATGCCTAGAACATGGTGGGCAGTCAGAAATTTTGCTGAATAAAAATTTCCTGGCAAACTTAGCACTTCAAGATGAAGTAAGATGCTTGCTCATTAGAAAATACCACTGAGGGTACATATAAACAACCATATGAGACACAGTAAGGAACCAAGACAAAGGAAATGGCGTTTGCCTCCAAGTTTGACAGAACACCAACATTTCTACTTCCTAAAGTCAATTTACTTTTCTTATTTTTCATGCAGCTTACTTTTGAATGGGTCAGGATGACTCTATTCTAAAAACTAGTATTGGAACCAAAGAATCTTTAGTTTTATGCCTACTCCTTGACTCAACTGTTTTAACTTTATTTTTTTATTAGTACATATTTGTCACACATATTGATCACATTCATTACAGGGAATTTGTACTTGCACATAATACTCAATGGTTTTAAAAAATTTTATATGTACCTTCAAAAATTTTTATATGTACCTAAGATTTTATGTACGGATCAGAAGGCTCACTATGTCACAGATAATAAAGAAAAAAATACAGGAGGAGGCTGTCCATAATTCAGAAATTGCCAGTACAGAGGAAGAACACCAGTTTTCATGTGTGTGTGCATGCACACCAAAGCATTCTGAGCTATAAACATCAAGGACATGACAAAAAACTACTTCCCAACAATTGACAGTGATATTGTTTTGCTTTCAACTCTTCAATCCATTAGAAAAATGCTGAAATGTGTATGACTTAATAAAAAGTTGAGAGATTCAGATGTCAATGTTAAAACTCTGTCAAATAGCTTAACTCTTTTCTATTTCTGGTACAGTATGTTGGTATTTCAGGTAGTCTGAGAACATGACAAGAGAGAAATGGTACTAAGAGTCAATTCTCACAATACTTTCCTTTAAGAAAGATCATGGCAGAGTCACACAACTAACTGTGTATTAGGATAAAGCAACCAAGAATTGAAAATTCATTTTCCGAATATGAATGGTTCCATTAATTGTCTCTTCATGCCCTTCTTGTTATACTCTTAAGATTGTCCTTCTATCAAACAGGTTATTTCTTTGCTCTTTTACAGCAAGATTCTTTCAAAGCATTTTCTATAAATGGTTCCCTTGATTCATTCTGTCCCATTTTCTCCTGAATCCAACCCACTCCAACCAGGTTTTCACTCTTTCCACTAAAGCTGCTCACCAAGATCTCCAACAACTCTGTCCCTGTCAGCCCTCATATCTTATTTCACCTGTCCTACAGCATCAGGCACAAGTAATTCTCTCCTTTCTCTGTAAAACATTTTCTTTCTTTGCCTTCACATCACACTCTCCTGGTTTTCCTTCCACTTTATTAGTCACTCTTTTTCAGACTTTTTCACCTTTCACACTGCTAATCCTTGGAATATGTGAATAACTAATGTTCACATCCCTAGTACTATCTCCCTCTGTTGCATCTTTTGGACCCCCTTCCTAATGTTACAGGACATAAACAATAACAGTTCATTATTGATTTTTCTGTTCTATTTTATGACAACTAACAATTTATTTGGTAATGTATTCCCAGTGCCTAGAACAGATTAGCTCATTTTATTGGCACTTCAGTTCAGTATTTAATGAACGAAAAACCAAAGTTGCAGGGGATAGTACTAGCCACTTTGTACTAGAAACTTATTGGCCAGATAATGTGTATGCATATCACACAATTCATTTACTCTTCCACCAACCGTATGAGACCTGAGGCTTTGGTGAGGAGCAGGGATGGGGTGATCTGAACATACTCCAAAGTGGCAGTGCCATGATTTAAATTCAAGTTTACAATTTCCAAAGTTAATGCTCTTAACTACTGTATAGTACTTGTTTTACTAGAGAATTATTACATTAGCTCAGGAATAAAGCCAACTCTGCTATTTGAAGAATCAGCAATCAAAAGTTCCCCGTGGTTGTGAATTAATCTCCATTTTCTTTGTTAAAATAACTGTTTAGTAACATTAATTCAGCAAATTTAATGGAAATTCTTTTGAAAGCATTCAACCCTACCATTGTCCGTGAAAATAGTGCAGGTAAGAAAACACACTCTCCTTCAAAGTATTGATGGCAATACTCAATCCTTTTATTCCTAGTGTATCATTTTTGGAATGCCCAGACCAACAGAAAATAATGAAAAATTTTCCTCTTCAAATTCTGTCTGGTTCCTTGAATTTTTCTAGATAACATGTACGTAATTTCATGTAAAAATTCAAAAAATTTCAACCTTTGTCATAAATGGGTTAAAAACTTTCAGTCTCTCCCATTTCTAATAAAGTTTCAAGCCAGTAGCTTCTAAACCTGGCTGGAGTCACCTAGGAGCTTCTTAGGGTTTTTTCAAGTAAGATTTTCAGCCCCAACTCTAGAACAGCCACATCAGTCTCTGGGAAACCTAGTATTTTTAAAGTACTAGGAGCCAAATATTTTAAAATTCTACAATGATTGAATCAGGATCTCTAAGAACCTAGTAATTTTTAAAGCTCCCCAGGAAACCCTAGTGGCTAGCCAAGTTGGGAAAACACTCGTTAAATAAACCAAGGTTGGCAAGGGACTAATCCCACTGTCTGAACACCTGGCTCACTGCTTGACAACGACCAAGTCTTACTGGTACTGACCTTCTTGGAAAGAGGAACGATGCTGTTGGGTCGAACAAGCCTCCGTTTCTTACAGCTCAATACAGGACGTGTTCGGGCAGCCACACAAGTGCCATCAGATGAAGAAACTAGATTCAGTCGTTGCTTTTTATGTAACTGTTCCTCAGCATCAGAGCTGTCACCTGGAACATGGTCTGCCAAGACAGGCTGAAGACTACAGAGGGGAAGGAAGAGCATATGCTACTCAGAAAATACAGGAATCTAAGCCTCTTAATACTAGTTCAAGTTCCTCTATTTGCAGTTTTACAACATAAACAAGTATTCTGTAGAAGCAGGTTACCTCGGGATGTCAACATCTATTAATATAAGTGTGTGTGTTATGTCTGCAATTATTCATAATGTTTTAGGTGTCCTCTATTTATGTACTCTATTATGTCTGAGAAGTGGAAAGTCAGTAAGTAAACTCAAATTATCAAATTAAGTTTTCTTATCAACAGAAATGACTAAAGAAAGCCTAGAAAACTGCAACTGGCAAGAAAACTATAAACTCCACAAATGTTAATAGGTTGTTTTTTTTTTTTTGGTACCAGGGATCGAACTCAGGTCCTTGCGCTTGCGCAGCAGGCGGTGAAACCACTGAGCTAAATCCCCGGCCCCAATAGGTTGTTTTATAATCACTACTCCTATGAATATTAAATTCTAGGGATGTGTACATATCATCCACTTGTAACAACTGTTGGGTAGCCAATCCTTCCTAGAGCCAAAGTGTTCGATGAATTTCTCCAAGATTATGATCAATAACGATGTACAATACCACAGGACCTTTTGATTTTCTCCATGCCTACTCCCTTTTAGGCCATGGAAGATAAAGGGGAAAAACATGAATACATTAAAATGTATCTGCTACAGTTAGGAGGCTTGCAAAATTTTAACAGCAGTCAAAATTTCTGCTTCTTTAAACCATCCTAGCTAGAAATACCTAAAAGCTACAAAATCACCTTTTGCAAGCTGTTAAATGTAACAAGTAAAATGGAAAAAAACTTACGTGTTAATAACTCCATTAACAGGTCTCAGTGCGCCACATGATTTGGCAGACAGTGACTCTGAAATATGACCAACAGAGGGACCATGGTTTTCTAGTGGCTGAGAAACAGACTCAATCTGAATAAGAAGAAAAACAAAATACACATCAACACTTACCCAACAATGTCCCTGTCTGAAAGCAGCCTAATTTCAATTCTACAAAGCCCCTAAAATTTCTGATGACCAACTAGAAAACAAACAAAATCTGTGTGACTGAGGAAAAAGAAAATAATCAAGAAAACTCACTTTGCTTGGGGGAAGAAGGAGCCTCAATATTTATTTTATCAGTTTGTAAGTAGTAAATGCCTACTAATAGGAAAAATAACCTCAACAATTCTACGGAACAGAAATTTAGCAAAATACTTACATAATAATATGAGCCTTTAACTAAAGGTAAAGAATACAGTAATATCAGTATCAAGATAACTAGTAGGAAATTGGAATGTGGTATTTGTTTACATATGTATAACAAACATTATTCTTTAATAGAAGAGAAAGCAAAATTAAAATCTCAAATGAATCTAATTACCTTACACTGTCTTTAAACTATATAAATCAAATGCATGAAATATTATGAAGAGAGGTGTAAGTGCATGAAAAAGTTTGAATTTCAGTATTGGAATCAAATTATATATTTACTAGGCTCAATAGGGACAAGCAGCTGAGTATCAATCTTATGTACTTTCTGAGGGATGGGCAATATGCAAATGCAGCTATTCACTGCTTCTAGGGTTGTTGAAATACAGTGGACCCTTGAGTCACAACTGGCCTCACATATGAACAACTTGGGTTATAACCAGAATTTTAGTTTTAACTTAAGACAAAAGTCTTGAGTTACGCCCCGAATGCCAGCTGCTTGTAAACAAGGACTTGGGACGCCAGGAAAGTATATGTAAGTGTCATTCTGAGCCCAGATGTGTGGGTTTGATAATGTGTGGACATGATTTCGGTCAGTTCTTTACATAACTGCTATGATTACTGCTGTCAAAATGGGTCCACAAAAGCTAGAAAAGAAGCTAAGGAAGGAAGGAAGAGAAGGTAAAGAAAGCAATCACAATCAAAAAGAAGGAAACTGTGGTGAAATGAGAGTGGCAATCTTGTTGATAGATCTTGCTAATAGGCTCCTCCTTCCCCCAAGCAAAGTGAGTTTTCTTGATTATTTTCTTGACTTTACAACCAATGTGAGTTACAACCAGACCTCACAAACAAATTGAGTTCCTAAGTCAAGGGTTCACTGTACCGTAGAAAAGCTGTAATCTCTGTTAGCTTTGGGGTGTTCTGAAGTTCTTTCTGTAAAAGCTACCAGTGTGTTTCAAGACCAGTATCTTGAGGAAAATTCTATTTTTAAGTATTGCTGAACTTTTTGATCTTCAGAATCCTGAAGAAAAATACCAAAGGATTTGCAGGCAAGCCACAGACAAGTATCAAGAAAGTACAATAGATTAGATAGTTTTTATGACTTACTACAAATTATCCACAAGCCAGATCAACATATATAAACAGTTAAGTCATATAAGTAAACCACAACAAGTGAACCCTGGGAAAATGTCTTCCTTGTCACATACTCTGTACAACTACTAAGCCTTAGTAATTAAGGTATCACAAATATTTGTATTAATCAATACTGCCAAAATTACGGTAACCTTGGCTTCTGTAATCCCCTTCTCACTACAGCAGGCCTTCAAGGGATTACTTTTTAGAGTAATCTTAAGAGGTAGCAAAGAGGGTTGCTAACTGGGTTTTCCTAAAAGGGCCAGGTGTACTGCATAAAATAATTAACAAAGTGATGAGATTCAAGTACATTGCTCATATAAACTAGGCATGTGCTTCATTACTCCACCCACTTACCCAGACTAATTGTGACAGAGAGCCCTTGAAGAAAAGCTAGATAACAGGTTGAGGGGGTTATCTTTTTCTGGCATCTACTGTATTTGTTTTACCAAATGGTAGAGAAAGCAAAGAAGTAAAAACAGAGGCACACATATACGCACAATAAAATTAAAATCTACCTATAAGACATGTGTATACGTACCTTCTATAGTCATTCAATTAATGTTCTGTCACATCTGCTTGAAATACCAATTTTTTTTTCTTAAAAAATGCACCACATTTGAGTGGCCTGAAAACTGCTCAGTTTCTGTTAGCTTTTATTTTAGTTCTGACAAACTAAAATGAAAAAAGCTAACTGGCTGACAATAATTCAACTTTTATTCCAGGCTTAAAATAAATTAAGTTTTTGAGTCTGTATGAATTATAGTATGTCTCAAGCCCACCACATCAATCATACTCAGCATGGTTTTAAAACCACCAAAATACTGTTGGGCTCTATATAGTATACTGGTCATTTCTGTGATTAGCTCTATGGCCAGGTAACTACTTAATTGGGAGTGGAAGGTTCTGAAAATTCCGCTTCCACTAACTTATTTATATGGCTTCATTCTCTGCATATGTAAAACAGGGGTCATGTGCTTCACTTTCCTATCTCCACAGGTTAATGACAGAAGAAAATCTATTTTAAAATTTTAACCAGCATAATGCTATTACAAATTTAATGGCTCCTAAACCTGAAGTTCATATTTACCAATTCTTGAAAATAGTCATGTAGAATCTAAATAAATAATAGCAGTCACAAAGCAATCTTGTATATCATATCAGCTTATTTATCCATAGCTTATTAAAAATTTTTTTTTCAGGTTGTTTCATTTTATAAAGGTGTTGGGAATTGAACCAAGGGATTCATGCATGCTAGGCAAGTGTATCAGAGCTGAGCTAAATCCCCAGCCCTTTCTTATTTCGGACAGTCTCTCACCAAGTTGCCCAGGCTGACCTCAAGTTTTTGATCTTCTTGCCTCAGCTTCTCAGGTAGGCAGGTGCCACCATACCTGGCTTCAATTTACTTTAAAGGGCTTAAATTAGCCAGTATTAAATGCTGCAGGCCAAGTATTTCTTGGTATCCATCCACCCACCTACCCCTTTACTCTCTATCCCAAAACTCTTGTCAAGCCAATGTACCACCCATCACCAGTGGGGACTGTAAAAGTTCAAGGAAAAGGGCAGGGGATTTAGCTGAGTGGTTCTGCTGTCTGCCTCACAAGTGCAAGGACCCGAGATGGATCCCTGGTACCCCCAAAAAAAAAGTTCAAGGAAAAGAAGCGATTCCTCAAATAATCTCACATGGAACTTCAAGCTTCTAGAAAAACAAGAGCAGGACAAACTCAAAGCTCGTACAAGGGAAGAAAGATCAGAGCAGAAATCAATGCAACAGAGACAAAGAGAACGATATCAAAAAAAAAATCAATGAAGCAAAGAGTTGATTCTTCAAAAAAATAAAATCAACAAACCCTTAGCCAACCTTATCAAAAATAGGAAAGAAAAAGCCAAACTGCATGCAATTAGGAATGAAAAAGGGTGACATTACAATAGATCCAGCAGAAATCCAGACGACCATCAATAACTACTTTGAGAACCTATACAAAATTCATAGCAGTGAATACTCATATTAGGAAAACAGAGCAAGCTCAAATAACCTAATGCTGAACCTCAAGCTTCTAGAAGTGATTCCTTAAATCAACGGTATGAAGAATGTATCTTGGACTCTTTATTTATTGAGGCAGGATCTTGCTTTGTAGTTCAGGCTGGCCTTGAACTCACTATGTATGCCAGGCTGGTTTCGAACCTGCAGCAATCCTCCTGCCTCAGCCTCCCAAGTGCTGGGGTCATGTACCACCACGCCTGGCTTCTTGCACTGTTTTAAAAAAGTTAAAAGCTTATATTTTTAGCATTTTTTTTTCTTAGAAACCATTAGTCCTTCACTTAACAGTTCAGTTATTTTTTTCCCATCACTTTCACAAAGTAATGAGTAAGAAAAAAGTAAAACAAGGCTCATTTTATGAATAAAAACATACAAATCATGACATTACTTGTCAAAAGGCATAGAAGCAAAGTTTTTGCTAAATAAACTTAAAAAAAAACCTGATCAATTTTTAATCTAGCCTTTAAAAAATTACCCAAGGAGGGAATATACAAAAATATCCATGTGTTTGTTCTTCTTTGCATAAGAAAGGATAATCCAAAAACAGGGTTGGGTGGAACAGGATGTAAGGAAGGGAAAAATGGAAACAGATTAACCAGAGCCATACCTTTTCGTATCTCTTCCAATTATAGTAATGTTTCTATTAAAAAGCTATCAATTACAATGAAAGATGTGAGCAAAGAACTAATTCAACTTCAAAAAAGTGTTTTGACTGTATACAAGAGCTAATATACCCCTACACAAATATTGTGCTCTAGTTACTAAAACTAGTTATGAAACTGGATACTGGGATTGAACAAGTAATTATCACCAAAGAAAGAGAAAGGCTATTGTTCTGGCCTAGAATGAACTCATGATTTTTTCTTTTGTTTTATTTTTGAGACAAGGTCTTGCTATGTAGTTTGGGCTGGGTTTGAACTCATTATCTAGCCCAGGCTGCCCTGGAACTCACAGTGATCTTCTTGCCTCAGCCTCCCGAGTGCTGGGATTACAGGAGTGTGCCACCATGACCAGCCTCATGATTTTTAAGATATACAAATGGGATATATGTATGTATGAGCACATACACATATCCTAGCTTTATCTGTTCAGAAATACTGAAAGCAATGAAAAAAGTAGCAACGAGCCTAACTAGTTGTCAGATACTGTTTTTAAAAACAAACAAACAAACAAACAAACAAGCAAACACTGCTCTCCAATAAAAAGAGCCACAGCTAAAGCAGACACAATATAAAATGAACCTGGAACACCTGGTGCCAGGAAGTGACTACTCAAAAACTGAATGTAACATGTTGAAAGGATATATAAGCCACCCTGAAACAGTTCTCAGTGCCCACAGAAGAGACAACTGGAGCAACTAAATAAAAGTAATTGACTATAACCCAAAGAATAAAACTAGCCTCCATTCCAATATGGACAATTTCTGATATGAAGGAGAGGGGGAATAGCTCCTCCTAACAGAATTCCAATAAATGCAAAAAACAGTAAAATTACCCACACTAAAAAAAAAAAAAGCAATAATTATTGTAGGAAAAACCCATCAGTG